GCACCACCAAGGGTGACCCTGCCGTGGACTCGGGGCGATGACGACGCATCAGCTCCAGCAGGTGCACCACCTGGTGGGGATGTGGGTCGCGGGGGAGGCTGTGGGGGGGCAGGGGGCGTGGGACATCCCCGTGCCTCCCTCACGTTTGCTGTGAGCCTAGATCTGCTCTCAAAATAGTCTTTTTTTAAAAAGAAAGGAGAAAGACCATCTGAAGAGCCCATTACCTTTCTCCACTGAGGTAAGAGGAACAAGCTTGGCCAAGAGGTGGACTGAGGTGGAGAGACAGGTGCTCTGGGGTGACAACAGCTGAGCGCCCCCTGGGGGCCGTGTGGTGGGTGTGGACCCAAGCCCCAGGTGCTCTTGGACCTGGGATAGGTTGGGGCGGGGCCTCCCGAGTGCTCCCCACCTGTGCCACCTGGAAACGGGGCCCGTCGGCCACAGGCAACTGACTTGTGTGACCCGACCGGCATCGCTGGCGCAGACCGGAGGCCACGTGTGCTGAGCGCCGTGCCCAAGGCACCCTGACTGAAGCCTTCTTCTCCCGCCAGCTGGACATTTTATGCAACGAGGAAATCCTGGGCAAGGACCACACGCTCAAATTTGTGGTTGTCACGAGGTGGAGATTCAAGGTGAGACCCGTCACTTTGTAAAGATGGGGTTATTTGATTTTCAGAATCTGCTACAAATGACAACTGCTTTTCTGTGCATATTTTCAACTAAGAGCTTAGAAATGACAACTCAGTCACAGGATTATTCTGGAATCATCAACACCAGAGTCGGTGTGGCCGGGGCCCTCAGGCGAGCACCGCCCCTCCTGGCCAAGCCGGCTGCCCGCAGTCAGCTGTGGGGGTCAGAGGACGCCCACAAGCCTTTGGGTACCGCTCTAAAGCAGGAAGCAGATGGCAGGATCCCCGGCTTGAGGGACAGCCCGGAGAAGGGGGTGACAGCCGTAGGACCCCAAGAGGAAGGGCGGGACCGGGTGGGGCAGCAGCTGTGCGGAGGGAAGGGGCCCGTCCCGTCCCCCTTACCTGCCCCCGCGGCTGGCGATGGTGACGCGCCGCGCTCTGACTTTGTCTTGCAGAAGGCGCCTCTCCTGCTGCACTACAGACCCAAGATGGACTTGCTCTGAGCTCGGCCCTGGGCCGGCCCCGCCGCGCCCGGGCTGTGGCCGCCCTGCAGGTGTCGTGGGGACCAGATTTCTGAACAGAGTATTTATAACTTTTGTATGAGAGAACTCACACTCACCAAGACACTACCAGCACCGCGGTCACGAGACGACGAAACGCTTTACTGCACAGTCTTAGTGGCCGAAGAGGCGCCTCTCACAGACTGGATGGTAAACACAGTGGCCACGCGACCTTCGCTTGCTTTCCAGGCCTTGGAAATCTGGTCATTTCAGTTTAGTTGATGAATTAGGGTTCACGATAAGCCTCGAAAATACTTGGATGTTTATTGAGCCCTTCCTAAGTTATTGAGAAAATATCTTTTCCTGGTGAATGACGCTATTTATGTTGCCTTTAGCTTCCTGAAGACTTAGAAGGTATATAAAGGTTTAATTTAAAAGCATACCAAAAGGGGTTTCCATTAATGAGTTAGCCACGGTATTTAATTTCCACATTAGGAAACGGGAAAAGCCGACGGCGCCTCTGCCTCGCCTGGCGCTCCGGGCTCCGAGGGCCACGCGGCCCCGAGGCGAGGAAGGGCCCCCACCGCCCCCCAGACGCCCCCGGACGCGGCGCACTCAGCAGGGTGGGGTGGCTAGGCCGGCCGCACGCTGCCTGGCGGAGCCGCCCTTGTTCTCAAACATCACTGGTGCGCGTCGGGTTCCGGGGCTGAGGGCCCCACTTAATTCTTCCTGTCTGCATCTTGCTGAAGGGAGGGGTGGTGGCTCTGGGGGGCGTTCCCGTCGGATGAGGGCCGGTGCCCCAGGCGCGCAGGCTCCGGTCCCCACCACGTCCACCGTTGGAAAGCTGTCCCCCGCCCCTGCTTGTGCACAAAGCTGGCACTCTGTTGCTGTTCCCAGCTGAGCCTGGGAGGAGCCTGCTGGCTGCTTTTTCAGTGACTTAATGTTCTCAAGTGCCGGTCACAGGCAGCACACATTTTGTCAACCCCTTTCTCCTCCCAAGTGTTAATATTTTTGTGGAATTAGAGAATAAATATTTGTTCCTTGAAAATAGTAACTTGGAACACGTAAAGCAAGAAGGAGAAAGCAACCATTTTCCGGGGCAGTGAAAGTGTTGTCCTGGGTTCTGTGTCTGTCCTTGTCCTCTGCCCCCCGCACCGTGCTTCCTCAGTGAGCTTTGGGTTCCTGCCCCCCCACCCCCACCCCCCGCCGTCACCTCCGCTCACCCTGCAGGCAGGCTGGGGGCCCTGGGTCCATCAGCCCCCGTCCACCACCTTCGTTCATGGACTGTTTCACCTTACTGACCAGAATTTTTTTCTCCATTTGCTTCAAAAGTTATGGTTGGGTTTCTTCTGCTTCCCATTTCGTACAGGTAAATGTCAGGAGCAGCTACTAACGAGACCTGATCTGGGTGACGAGAAAATCATCCCAATTAACTCAGTCCAAGTGATTCTAACGTAAGGCCTTTTACAAACGTAGCAACAGATTGTTAGGGATTGGTCAAAATTCACGTCTTCATTTAAGCCCATGGACTCCCAGTCAGTACTGTTCGAATTGTTCAGTTACCTAAGCTTGCTACTCATCCAAATCATGTTTTAGAGTTGCTCTACTAGGTTTAATGAGTAGATGTGTATGAGTAAATATTACCTGTCTACCTCAAAATACACATCACTGCTGAAGCACTCTGCACAACCATACATTACCACAGTGCGGTTTTAGGGTTAGCGTTAGAACTTGGGGATTTGCCTGTGTAGTGGAGGGGGGTTAGGGTGAAACAGTGTAAGCACCCAAATTCAAACAGAATCGGCTCACGGTTCAGATTAGACTGAGTATCGCCATAATCCTCTCATAATATATATTTGTAACTTTGTAGCTATCTTTGAAATCACTTGAATTTGCTATGGTGCTAAGTGGACGTACTTAAATACACGGAGAGGTGGAGATGGTCGGAGCCAGTGCTGACATGGCCGGCAGGCTGCTGGCCCTCCTGTGACCCCTTTTGTAATCGTGTCAACCTGACGCAACCTCAGCAGCAGAAGTACCTATTTTTCTAAGATTCCTCGTGCAGACTGTCTTCACTACAGGACGGCCCCGGGGACCCCGCCCCTCAGCTGACAGGAGCCCAGAGCCTGCGTCCCAGGGCAGCTTCCGTGGCCCCTTCCCCGCTGTCACGCTTTCGTGTCACATCAAAAGGCTGAATTTAATTTCTTCCAGCATGAAAGCCAGGATCAGTTAGTGATTGGATCCTACGAGGTTTTTTTTTTTTAACAGATGGAGTTACTGTGAAGTAGTTTTCACGACCGTTTATGCTGGTAAGCAAGAGCTGTTCAGTTACCTTCCCGCGTCACTGTCCGCGGCGGCGGGACTCCCTGCCCAGCACGTGGTCTCGCTAAATGCAGTTTTCATGAAAATAGAAAATTCAGATAGAATATATAAATATTGAATTTAAGATTTGGGGGGTTAAAAAAAAAGAAAACTTAACTTTATAAAATTATTTATTCTATTTTAAGCCTTCTATCATATTTTCCCATCCGATTGTTTGGTTTCCGTGGTCCAGCTTTATTTACAGGCATATAAAATGAAATTGTGACATGTTTTGCAAGCTTCTTCTTTTACTTTGAGTAGCTTTTAATTTGTACGTTTTTTTTTATATAGATACAGAGCACTGTTTATGCTTTTGTGCAATAGGTCCCAAGATGCATTTACTAGACATCTGTTTAAATTGTAATGCCGCATCTCTTCTGCTCAATTGAAAGGGAATGTAGGTGGAATTTCAAAATATGTACATTCAGCTATTTGGTTTCTCCTTTTCACTGTTGTTACGAGAATGCTGTTTTGGGGGATGGTGTGTGTGTGTGTGTGTGTGTGTGTGTGTGTGTGTGTGTGCAAGAACACCTGCCAGCAGTATCGTAGGGCACGAGACCCAGCAGGCCACCGTGGAGCGGCACGTGGCCGTCCCGGACCGGCCTCGCGGCCACCCTGGGTCCCCTATTTTCAGACCCCGTGTGCGGCCCTTGGGTGCCCTGCCCCACGCCGACCAGACCACGGATGTGTGGGTGCTACTTCCACAGGGGCTCCCGAGCCCTCCAGGGCGTGTGGCCTCTGACGCCTCCTTGTGGCGAAGTCTTTAGAAATCCATTTCGTTTCTTCCTCAAAGTGCACAGGATGGCATTTTACAGCAGTTTAAAACGTGTCATTGGGCTGAATGTTCCAGAAACGAGTCAGCTGATTTCTACTTTACATGCGAGTGTTAGATGTGCTCTTAAGACACTGAAAATAAACTTAGCTCAGAACAAATCCTGTTTCTGTTTCCTCAGGAAATCATTTACGCTCCATCATGTGTGACCTTAGCGCCATAAGCCAAGTGTCTCTCTGCCTTGGGATTTAAACCAACTACGTAGGTCAAGATCAGATTAGAAAACCGTGATTCAAACCAGCCGTCATCTTGACACATTCTGTCCCTGCGAGGCAGGGACAGGTGTGGCGCGGCTGTAGCCTCCGGGCCATCAAGGAGGCTCTGTTTGTGCGAATGCCCGCCCACGCTTGGCCTGCATCACGTGGGGTTCGCCACGTCCACGAGCGCATCTGAAGGAGGGACTGTGGTTTGAGTGTCCCCTAAAACGTGTGTAGCGTTAGTGCAAATGTCTGTTCCAACAACTGAATTGGGTATAAGAAAACCATTTTTCCCCAAATGGTGTAGGGTTCAGGGGTGTGAGCCGCCACTAACCTGACCGTCACACGTGGCCACATGGACGCTGTCGCGGTTTGTTGAGATGAAAATGCAGATACATATTTTTGACTGTTTAATTTGAAAGTTTACATTTTTTATGCTTTGTGTTGGTGTGTAATTTTTGTACTATTGGTGGCTAGTTTTTGTCTAAAATCTTTTTTGGAATATTGCTTAAACGTTTTGATTTTATGATAGTGAAGCTTGTACTCAGTGTTTTGCCAATTAATATTATATGCTTGTAATAAAAGCAAAAGAAAAACATACCTAAAGTTTTTTCGGGCTGGAAGTTTATAAAATATTTCTAGGAGCATAACATGGATGATCTGTTGGCACCGCAGTGAACTGAAAATTACCGCAGGCGCTGTTGGCACACACCCCTCCCCCATGCCCTCCCCCACCCCGAGCGCCAGTCCTCCCCCGCCCCGAGCCCGGAGCCCTCCCCCACTCGGAGCCCCGTGCCCTCCTCAACCCCTCACCCCCGAGCCCTCCCCCACCCCCAGCTCCCCGGGAAGCCCTCCTCTCTCGCCTCAGCCCCTTCCGTGCTCCTCCCCAACCCGAGCCCCAGCCCTCCCCCACACCAAGCCCCGTGCCCTCCCTCACCTGTGCCCTCCCTCACCCCATGCCTAGCCCTCACAGATTAACTACCTTCTCACTCTGCCTCACACGGCACTTGTATCTTGGATACAGAACTTCACTGAAATTGGTCCAGTGTTTGGACCGGAGGTTTGGCGGGAACTGTGTGTAAAGTCCGTGCTGCTCATCTATTTGCTTGCAGCAAGAACTCACTTTGGTTTAGAGCTGCACGTGCCAATGAAAATACTGTTAAAAAAGAACCTGCTGATCCCTGTGGGTGGAGTGACAGCGTTTGCTTCCCTCTGTTAAGATGTTAACGGGCGTTCTCCAAAGGAGCAGAACCAGTAGAAAATACGTGCGTATACATATCTGTGTGCCTGTGTGTTCACGAGCATGCTACAGAGCACACACGGGTCCTGATTTCCCCACGGTGTCAACTTTGTTCAGTCGTAGAGCAAGGTTAAAGCAGGTTTACATCTAAACTCAGGGACATTTCACTACACATTTAATTTGGCTTCATACACAGCACACAAAGCAAAGCACATAAAAAAATCATTAAAAAACAAGATACAACTAGGGATAACAAACCAAAGCTAACAAACCAAATGCAAAGTCAGTCTGAGTGTGGAGTGGAGTTGAGGACTTCTTCCGGTCCAAGTCTATGCAGACTGCTTATTCGGTCCAAGTACTGGAGGAAATGTTCTGTCCGAGGAGTAGAGGGTCTCTTCTGTCCAGGCAATGGGGGATCTGTGTTCTGTCCAGACAGGGGGGGGATCTGTGTTCTGCCCAGGCGGTGGGAGAATCTGTTCTGTCCAGGCACTGGGGGATCTGTTCTGTCCAGGCGGTGGGGGATCTGTTCTGTCCAGAGATCACTTGGGCAGAGTATGCTGTGGCTGTTACCTTTGATATGGTCAGACATGAAAGGGTCAGCATCTGGAGATGCATTTCCCGGTCTTGGCTGTGGCATCACTGCTTGACATGAGTGACTCTGTCATTCTGCACGCGTGTAAAAGGAGACTGGTCATAAGGAGTTTACTCACAGGATCATGGAGACTGAGAGACCCAGGAGGACCTGTGCAGTGCCATCGAGGGCAGGAGGGGACCGTGTCCCGACTCAGCAGGATCCCTTCCCTCTTC